GCAAGTTGCTTTGATCTTGGGCTTACGCCGCACCGCCGACCCACTGGGGGGCTCCTGGTACGTCTCTCGGGGGCCTCCTGGCAGCACTTTTGAAGCCTCTTGAGGGCCGTTTTGGAGCCTCTTAGGGCCTCTTTCGGGCCTCTGGTGGGCCTCTTGCAGCCTCTTGGGGGCTTCTTAGGGGCCTCTTGGGGCCTCCTGGAGGCTTCTTGGGGCCGAAGGTTCGAAATTTCCGTTCGGGTCCCCCGCCTGGGCCCCCTCCTGGAGTTGTTTTGGGGGTCTCTTGGGCTGTCTTTGGGCCCTCTCGGGCCGTCTTGGAGTCGTCTTGGGGGGGTCCTGGGCCGTCTTGGGGCGATCTTGGAGGCCTCTTGGGCCGTCTTGGACGCTGTGAAAGCCCAAGAGGCGAATGTGCTAAAATCATGCGTTTCTTCGAGGGGATCGGACGATTTTTGCTTCTTGGGGTCCTCTTGGGACGCCTCTCGGGGCGTCTCGGGGGCCTCTTGGGCCATCTGGGGGCCATCTTGGGCGTCTTGGAAAAATCCATCGGCGACTCGGGGCCCTCTTGGACAATCTTGTGGGCCTCTTGGGGCCCTCATGGCCCATCGTGAGGCCCGTGGCGCGTTCACCTGGGGCCGGCCGGACCCCCCCCCCTCCAAACCAACCGGACCGGGCCCGGGGGGAGGGGTTTGGGAAGGGGGAAGCATCTGACACGCCGATGACCCCAAGGGGTCGGCGGATTAGAGACGTAAGAAAGCATGCAGCGTAATAAGGAGGACGACGATGATGACGACGACGACGACGATGACGTCGACAAGGGGAGTCAACCAGCCAGTCCTCTGCATATCTTTTGCTTGGAGAGCGTCTTGGAGGCCTCTTGGGGCCCTTTGGAGGCCTCTTGGAGACCTCTGGAGGATCTCTTGGGGCCCTGTTGGGGCTCACTTGGGGCTCCCTCGGGGACCTCTTCGAGGCCTGGGGGCTTTGTTTTTTCTGGAACCAAGACTATGCTGCCTTCTTGCCGCTGTGCATCTGGCGTGAGGCCTTGCGGACCCCCATGGGCCATCTTGGAAGCCATCGGTCAAAGGAGGGGGATACGTACTGAAGTAGTGCCCCCCTTCGTCGGGGCCCGAACATCTTGAGACCCTTGTGGACGCTCTTGGGCGCTTTTGGGGCCGTCATCCTTTGCACCTCTTGCGGTCCTCTGGGGCCATCTTGGAGCCATCTTCAGACATCCAGAGCCCATCCGAAGCGAACAGGCGAGAAATCCAAAAGCATTGAACAAAAATGGTATGGCGTTGAACGATTCTTGTCTCTTGGAGAGAGAGGCGCTCCAGGGAGTCCAGGAAGTCCGGGAAGTCCGGGGAGTCCTTGGAGTCCGGGAAGACGGGGGAGTCCAGGGAGCCCGTGGAGTCCGGGGAGTCTGGGAAGTGCAGGGGATTTTTGGAGCCCGAAGAGTCCGGGGAGCCTGCCAGGTACTGCTGGAAGGGCTCCTGGCCCAGGGTGCCCCCAGGATCTCCAAGGAGGCTCCCAAGGCCTCCAGCGCACCCCTCACGAGGCCCAGAGGGCCCCCAGGGGCTCCAGAGTGGAGCGAAGAGCTGGGGGCACCTTTGGCCAGGGGCACTTCTGGCAGCACCCGAGTCCGGGGAGGCTGGGACGCCCGTGGGGTCCGGGGTGTCGGGGGCAAGGGCGCCGAGAGGAGCACGAGGAGGTGCAGGGCGATGGGGAGGGAGGAATACTCGGAGGTAGAGGAGGGAGCGAGGAGAAGGAGGCAAGCCGAGACGAGGAGGTGAGAGATCGGGGAAGGGGGAGAGGTGGGAGGAGGGTAGAGGGAAGGGCGGGAAGAGGCAAAAGGAGGGGGATGATTAAGCGGAAGAGGAGCAGGAGGAGGAGGAGCAGGAGGAGGAGGAGGAGAGAATTTTGAGTAGTTTCCTCCTTCTGCTCCTCCTCCACGTTGGCAGTGCTCCTGGACGTGCCTTTCGAGCTCTCTCGTAATTATCTCTGAAGGTCCACGGAGGCCCCCGAGTCTCTGAGAACACAGGGGTATAATACAAACGAAAGAACCTGAATCGTGGATCCTTCCCCGTGTCAACCCTCCTCGGAAAAACCGCATTACGGCCAGACCGAGGTATAAGATCGAGGTCGGTTCGGGGAGGGTACCCTAGTGTTCTTCGGGTTTGTCGGATGTTTTTGTGCATCCAGGGGGAGGGCACCCTCGAATGTTCTGGTGTTTTTGCCGGCGAGGGTCTATGATCTGGAGGATGGTACTATGTCCAGGTCGGCAGTACTTGCCGCCTTGCATTCCCTCCTGCCCGCTCTCCTTCCTCTGCCCCTCCGCTCCGCCTTGGAAAAACCCGTCGCGCCATGACGACCTGATATTGTCTGGCGGGGTGGCGGCTGCGCGAAAGCGACAAGGTCAAGCTGCAAACCTACCAGTCATCAAACGAGCACACGGCCACGCCCTCCACGTAGCCCGCTGGCGCGGCGGCGCTAGAGAATGGCGGGCGCAGCTCTGGCCCCCAGGGCGTCTCGCTTGGCTTCCCGGCCATTCTGGCTGCAAGTGCTGTGCCACATGCCGTCGGGCTTGAAGGTGCCCGTACCCCATATCTCGTCTGAGAGATCCCATACGCGCTGTCGATATCGGCCAGGCTTGACATGAGGCACTGCACGTCTTCCTATGCAAGCCCCATGGCTGTTTGTGGCGGATGCCTTTGCCGGACTTCCTCCGTGGGGCAGCACGACAACATCGTCACTTTGTCGTTCGAGCAGCGTCTCCTAAAGCTTCTGTTTTTCTGTGGACAACTCGTATGTCTTTGGCTGGACGAAATCTGTAGCGTCGCTGTACACACTGAGAAAGGTCTTCCAGTTCGCCCTCCTCACCGCTTCGTCCCTTCACGTCCTTCGAAAACAGAGTCCACGAATGAAATTGGACCAAGGCAGAGAGGTAGGCTCGAATGCAGACGTGGCGGACTCGATGCTGATAACCCATATTTCCGGCGGTAATTTGTGCCGTTAGCGATGTTCTTCTATGCCGCGGATGCTTCCGAACCGAGTGTTGCTTTCAAGGCGGTGATCATGTGTTTGCGTCATTTCGCAACGCTGTACTGGAAGTACTTGAGAAGTTCATCAGGCTTTTCGGTCGCGGACATAGAGTACATGTTTAGATTCTTCATGTCGTTCATTGCGGTACGAACGTATTTTGAAGAGTCACACGTGCTGTTCTGCATGTATGGCGGTTTCTGGAGCGCGGCACGACTGCTTCTCGCGGTCTCGTTACTTGATTGCAGGATGTCGGTGAGGTGGAACATATTTCTTTCTGCAGTGAATTGCCTTTCTTCCTGGGAGCGGCGCGAGCAGCTACGCATCGACGGACACTCTTCCACGGGCGCGTTCGTCCACCAATGTATGGTTGAAATGGTTTCTTGTGGACTGATCTGCTTTGCCTCAGCATTCTTGGAGGCTTGCGAGAAGGACCGCGTCAAGGCATCCGTAGAGTCCAGCCAGTCTGGCAGGGCGTATCAGGCAGCTCAAACACTGCTTGGTGTATTCTGCGACGCCCAGCTGCGCATCTGCCCACAATGTAACATCATCGCCCATTCCCCACACCTGCTGCACTTGCTGGGCTCAGGAGGCACGAGGCACACGCTTCATGGGTGCAGCTTCCTTCAGTATTTGCTAGAACCCGACAAGCAGCGCTTCCTGGACTTCATCTCCGGGGCGACGGTGTTGCAGCAGCGCTCTCAGGACTTCTCGTCCAAGCGCACCGCCGCCTCAATGGCCGAAGGCCCGAGCTCGGGCGATTTCTCCATGGGCCACGCCACCTCCACCCAGGTCTCCCTGCAGAAGGGGGGGGGGGGCGCACCCGATCCCGGTGGAGCTGTTCCTGATCAACATCGCCGACGCCCAGGACGCCCCCGAATTCCTGATGGGCGTCCGGGAGACCTGCGAGGCGCTGCCGCGGGAGGCCTGCACGGACGCCCCCGGTGCCGAGGCGCTGCCGCAGCCAGCGGCGGCCTCTGCGGCGCGCGGGCCGCACCTCGAGGCGGGCCAGGGCAGCGCCGTCCTGCGCCTGCCCCTCATCCTCCTCCTCCTGCTCCTCCTCCTCCTCCTCCTCCTCCCTCCTCTCCTCCTCCTCCTCCTCCTCTCCTCCTCCTCCTCCTCCTCCTCTCCTCCCTCCTCCTCCCTCCTCCTCCTCCTCCTCCTCCCTCCTCCGCCTGCCTACCTCCTCGTCCCCCTCCTCCTCCTACCTCCTCCTCCTCCTCCTCCTCCTCCTCCTCCTCCTCCCTCCTCCTCCCAGCGCCAGGCGTCCGGCGCGGCGCAGGCGCCGGCCCAGCAGCAGCCGCCGCCTCAGACGCTGGTCGCCGGCGCTGGCCAGCGGCCGCCTGGGGCGCTGGCGCAGCGGCCCGTCCGCAGCCTCGGCCGGAGGTCCCGCAGCTCCATCTCGTCGTCCTCGAGGGCCTCCTCCTCCAGGGGAGCGAGGAGTGGCAGAAAGATACAACAACTCGGAGGTCCGCGCGGATTTCTCGGATCTGCGCTGGACCCCTCTCCCTGGCGCGCGGCCAGGGGTGGTGCCGGAGGTGCCGCCAGGGGGGGTCCAGCGCGGATCTGAGAAATCCGCGCGGACCTCCGAGGTTTATTTTTATGTCATTATTCGTTCCCCTATCCTCGTCCGCTGGGAGCGGCGCGCTGGACGCGGGCCGTATCTCGTCCGTCTGCCTGCGGCTGGACTCGAGCAGGGGCTTGCGCGTCGAGGACATGCTGCTGCGCTTCGAGGGCGGTAGCCAGTCGCCCCGCCTGGAGGATTGGCTTTCGAAGGAGACCGTGGATGAGGTCCTCAGGAGTAGCCAGGATCTCACCGCCCACCAAACCACCCCAACCCAACCCGAAGGCCTCAGTTTGTCTTCCATCTCTAGTGGTGGCGGGTGTCGGGGAACAATGAAAAACACTGGTGGAACCAACCCGAAGTTCGGGTCTTCGGGTTAGGTTCGGGTGGTGTAGTAGGTGGTCAGGATCTCGTGAATCGGAGGCATTACAGGCTCGAAGGCGAGGAGCTGGAGGCGGGCGTCGGTGCTGGTACGGTGCGATTTTCCAGTGGCGGATCCGCGTTCCTGCTGGCGGAGCGCGCAACGCTTGCGGTCGATGGCTACTTCACCGACCCACGTGACTCGGGCGAGGAGTCCGATTATATCAGCCCGTTTGTATTCATGTACCTGTTCGGAGTGTCGAAGCTTCGTGTGCCCTGGCAGGGCAGGCCGCAGAGGGTCTCGAAGAGGCTGCACCCGATCGACGAGGCGCCGGCGGATGCGGCGTGCGGCGGCGACGCGCCGACGCTGAGGCGGAGAGCCAGCGAGGGCACCGCCTGAGAGGGCTGCAAGGAGAGAGGGTGCCCAAAGCTCGGCGACTACGAAGGGTATGGTTACGCAAGGGTGTGTTTTGCGATCGGCACCGTTGGGGCCTGGGGGGCACGACACTGTCCTCGTCGGGCCTCCTCGGGGCGCGGGAGAACTCTATCGAGGTTTCTCCCCTCTCTTCAGACCGAGGAGCACGTGCTGGCCGCGGGTCTGCACCAGTTGTCCGTTGTCAAGGGCTTTGAGGCTTCTATGCAAGGCTCGCGCTGATTAGCACCAGTCTCAGTGGCTGTCTGTCCTTCCCTCTTCTTTTCTTCCTGGGCTCTCTACAGTTACACAAAATGAATACTACTCTCCTCTCTCCCCTGGTGACGTCCCGGAAATGTCCGGCCCCCCTCCGCGCGCGCGCATATTGTTTTGTTGCACGCCTCTCGGGGCGTCTCGGGGGCCTCTTGGGCCATCTGGGGGCCATCTTGGGCGTCTTGGAAAAATCCATCGGCGACTCGGGGCCCTCTTGGACAATCTTGTGGGCCTCTTGGGGCCCTCATGGCCCATCGTGAGGCCCGTGGCGCGTTCACCTGGGGCCGGCCGGACCCCCCCCCTCCAAACCAACCGGACCGGGCCCGGGGGGAGGGGTTTGGGAAGGGGGAAGCATCTGACACGCCGATGACCCCAAGGGGTCGGCGGATTAGAGACGTAAGAAAGCATGCAGCGTAATAAGGAGGACGACGATGATGACGACGACGACGACGATGACGTCGACAAGGGGAGTCAACCAGCCAGTCCTCTGCATATCTTTTGCTTGGAGAGCGTCTTGGAGGCCTCTTGGGGCCCTTTGGAGGCCTCTTGGAGACCTCTGGAGGATCTCTTGGGGCCCTGTTGGGGCTCACTTGGGGCTCCCTCGGGGACCTCTTCGAGGCCTGGGGGCTTTGTTTTTTCTGGAACCAAGACTATGCTGCCTTCTTGCCGCTGTGCATCTGGCGTGAGGCCTTGCGGACCCCCATGGGCCATCTTGGAAGCCATCGGTCAAAGGAGGGGGATACGTACTGAAGTAGTGCCCCCCTTCGTCGGGGCCCGAACATCTTGAGACCCTTGTGGACGCTCTTGGGCGCTTTTGGGGCCGTCATCCTTTGCACCTCTTGCGGTCCTCTGGGGCCATCTTGGAGCCATCTTCAGACATCCAGAGCCCATCCGAAGCGAACAGGCGAGAAATCCAAAAGCATTGAACAAAAATGGTATGGCGTTGAACGATTCTTGTCTCTTGGAGAGAGAGGCGCTCCAGGGAGTCCAGGAAGTCCGGGAAGTCCGGGGAGTCCTTGGAGTCCGGGAAGACGGGGGAGTCCAGGGAGCCCGTGGAGTCCGGGGAGTCTGGGAAGTGCAGGGGATTTTTGGAGCCCGAAGAGTCCGGGGAGCCTGCCAGGTACTGCTGGAAGGGCTCCTGGCCCAGGGTGCCCCCAGGATCTCCAAGGAGGCTCCCAAGGCCTCCCCCCCCCCCCCAGGGGCCCGGGGCACCCTCACGAGCCCAGAGGCCCCCAGGGGCTCAGAGGAGCCGAAGAGCTTGGGGCACCTTTGGCCAGGGGCACTTCTGGCAGCACCCGAGTCCGGGGAGGCTGGGACGCCCGTGGGGTCCGGGGTGTCGGGGGCAAGGGCGCCGAGAGGAGCACGAGGAGGTGCAGGGCGATGGGGAGGGAGGAATACTCGGAGGTAGAGGAGGGAGCGAGGAGAAGGAGGCAAGCCGAGACGAGGAGGTGAGAGATCGGGGAAGGGGGAGAGGTGGGAGGAGGGTAGAGGGAAGGGCGGGAAGAGGCAAAAGGAGGGGGATGATTAAGCGGAAGAGGAGCAGGAGGAGGAGGAGCAGGAGGAGGAGGAGGAGAGAATTTTGAGTAGTTTCCTCCTTCTGCTCCTCCTCCACGTTGGCAGTGCTCCTGGACGTGCCTTTCGAGCTCTCTCGTAATTATCTCTGAAGGTCCACGGAGGCCCCCGAGTCTCTGAGAACACAGGGGTATAATACAAACGAAAGAACCTGAATCGTGGATCCTTCCCCGTGTCAACCCTCCTCGGAAAAACCGCATTACGGCCAGACCGAGGTATAAGATCGAGGTCGGTTCGGGGAGGGTACCCTAGTGTTCTTCGGGTTTGTCGGATGTTTTTGTGCATCCAGGGGGAGGGCACCCTCGAATGTTCTGTGTGTTTTGGCCGGCGGAGGGTCTTATGATCTTGGAGGATGGTACTATGTCTCAGGTCCGGCCGTACTTGTCTTGCATTCCCCTCCTGCCCGCTCTCCTCCTCTGCCTCCTCCCGCTCCGCCTTGGAATACCCGTCGCGCCATGACGTCGAGATTGGTCTGGCGGGGGGCGGCTTGCGCGAAAGCGCATGCAAGCTGCAAACCTACCAGGCATCAAACGAGCACTCTGGCACGCCCTCACGTGCCGCTGGCGCGGCGGCGGCTGAGAGAATGGCGCCAGCGCTGGCCCAGGCGTCTCGCTGGCTCCGCGGCCATTCTGGCTCAAGTGGCTGTGCCACAGCCGCGGCTGAAGGTGCCCGAGCCCCTTATCTCGTCTGAAGATCCATCGCGCGCGATCGGGCCTGGCTGACATTGAGGGCACTGCACGGCTTCCAGGCAAGCCCGAGTGGCTGTGTGTGGCGGGATGCCTTTGTCGGACTTCCTCGCGGTGGGGCAGCACGACTACTTCGTCACTTTTGTCGTTCGGAGCTGCGTCTCCTTAAGCTTCTGTTTTCTGGGGACACTCGTATGGCTTGGCTGGGACGATTCTGTAGCGTCGCTGTACGCACTGAGAAAGGTCTTCCAGTCGCCTGCCTCACCGCTTCGTCCTTGCACGTCCTTCGAAAACAGAGTCTCGAATGAATTGGACAAGGCAAGGGTGGCGCGATTGCAGCACGTGGCGGACTCGATGCTGATACCCATTTCGGCGGGTATATTTGTGCCGTTAGCGATGTTCTTCTATGCCGCGGATGCTTCCGAACCGAGTGTTGCTTTCAAGGCGGTGATCATGTGTTTGCGTCATTTCGCAACGCTGTACTGGAAGTACTTGAGAAGTTCATCAGGCTTTTCGGTCGCGGACATAGAGTACATGTTTAGATTCTTCATGTCGTTCATTGCGGTACGAACGTATTTTGAAGAGTCACACGTGCTGTTCTGCATGTATGGCGGTTTCTGGAGCGCGGCACGACTGCTTCTCGCGGTCTCGTTACTTGATTGCAGGATGTCGGTGAGGTGGAACATATTTCTTTCTGCAGTGAATTGCCTTTCTTCCTGGGAGCGGCGCGAGCAGCTACGCATCGACGGACACTCTTCCACGGGCGCGTTCGTCCACCAATGTATGGTTGAAATGGTTTCTTGTGGACTGATCTGCTTTGCCTCAGCATTCTTGGAGGCTTGCGAGAAGGACCGCGTCAAGGCATCCGTAGAGTCCAGCCAGTCTGGCAGGGCGTATCAGGCAGCTCAAACACTGCTTGGTGTATTCTGCGACGCCCAGCTGCGCATCTGCCCACAATGTAACATCATCGCCCATTCCCCACACCTGCTGCACTTGCTGGGCTCAGGAGGCACGAGGCACAACGCTTCATGGTGCAGCTTCCTTCAGTATTTGCTAGAACCCGACAAGCAGCGTTCCTGGACCTTCATCCCGGGGCGACGGTGTTTCAGAGCGCTCTCAGGAACTTCTCGTCCAAGCGCACCGCCGCCTCAATGGCCGAAGGCCGAGCTCGGCGATATTCTCCATGGGCCCCACGCCAACCTCCACCCAGGTCACCTGCAGAATGGGGGGGGGCGCACCCGATCCCGGTGGAGCTGTTCCTTGATCAACGATCGGCCGACGATGCCCAAGAGGACCGGCCCCCGAATTCCCTGATTGGTCGTCCGGGAGAACCTGCTGAGATCGCAGCCGCGGGAGGCCCTGCACGGACGCCCCCGTGCCGATGCGCTGCAAAGCAGCCAGCGGCGGCCACTTTCTGCGCAGCGGGCCTCACTCGAGGCGGTCAGGGCAGCGCCTTCCTAGCTGCTGCCCCTCATCCTCCTCCTCCTGCTCCTCCACCTCCTCCTCCTCCTCCCTCCTCCTCCTCCTCCTTCTCCTCCTCCTCCTCCTCCACTCTCCTCCCTCCTCCTCCCTCCCTCCTCCTCCCTCCTCCCCTCCTCCTCCTTCCTCCCTCCTCCTCCTCCTCCCTCCTCCTCCTCCTCAGTCCTCCTCCTCCTCCCCTCCTCCTCCGTCCTCCTCCTACCTCTCCCTCCTCCTCCCTGCGCCATGGCGTACCAGCGCGGGGACGCATGCGCCGGCCCAGCAGCAGCCGCCGCCTCAGACGCTGGTCGCCGGCGCTGGCCAGCGGCCGCCTGGGGCGCTGGCGCAGCGGCCCGTCCGCAGCCTCGGCCGGAGGTCCCGCAGCTCCATCTCGTCGTCCTCGAGGGCCTCCTCCTCCAGGGGAGCGAGGAGTGGCAGAAAGATACAACAACTCGGAGGTCCGCGCGGATTTCTCGGATCTGCGCTGGACCCCTCTCCCTGGCGCGCGGCCAGGGGTGGTGCCGGAGGTGCCGCCAGGGGGGGTCCAGCGCGGATCTGAGAAATCCGCGCGGACCTCCGAGGTTTATTTTTATGTCATTATTCGTTCCCCTATCCTCGTCCGCTGGGAGCGGCGCGCTGGACGCGGGCCGTATCTCGTCCGTCTGCCTGCGGCTGGACTCGAGCAGGGGCTTGCGCGTCGAGGACATGCTGCTGCGCTTCGAGGGCGGTAGCCAGTCGCCCCGCCTGGAGGATTGGCTTTCGAAGGAGACCGTGGATGAGGTCCTCAGGAGTAGCCAGGATCTCACCGCCCACCAAACCACCCCAACCCAACCCGAAGGCCTCAGTTTGTCTTCCATCTCTAGTGGTGGCGGGAGTCTGGGAAACAATGAAAAACACAGGGGAACCAACCGAAGTTCGGTCTACGGGTTAGGTTCGGTGGTGTAGTAGATTTCATATCTCGTGAATCGAGGCATGGAACAGGCACCCTAAGGTCGAGGAGCTGGAGGCTGGCGTCGTGCAGTAGCGGTGCTATTTCCAGTGGCGGAATCCGCGATCCTGCTGGCGGAGCGCGCAACGCTGACGCGTGCGGTCGATGTGGCTTCGATCACCGACCCCGAGACTTCGCGCGAGGGATCCCATTATATCACCCGTTTTTAAGTTATTCATGTACCTGTTCGTGTGTCGAAGCTTCGTGTGCCTGGCAGGCAGGCCGCAGAGGGTCTCGAAGAGAGCTGCACTACCGGAACGACGAGGCGCCGGCGGATGCGGCGTTGCGCGGCGACGCGCCGACGCTGAGGCGGAGAGCCAGCGAGGGCACCGCCGAAGAGGGCTGCAAGTAGAGAGAGGCCCAAAGCTCGCGACTACGAAGGAATGTTACGCAAGGGTGTGTTTATTGCGATCGGCCACCGTTGGGGCTGGGGGCACGACACTGCCTCGTCGGCTCCGGGGCGCGGGAGAACTCTATCGAGGTTTCTCCCCTCTCTTCAGACCGAGGAGCACGTGCTGGCCGCGGGTCTGCACCAGTTGTCCGTTGTCAAGGGCTTTGAGGCTTCTATGCAAGGCTCGCGCTGATTAGCACCAGTCTCAGTGGCTGTCTGTGCTTCCCTCTTCTTTTCTTCCTGGGCTCTCTACAGTTACACAAAATGAATACTACTCTCCTCTCTCCCCTGGTGACGTCCCGGAAATGTCCGGCCCCCCTCCGCGCGCGCGCATATTGTTTTGTTGCACAGGATTCCCGGGAGTTGTGTGTTTCGGTTGTTTTTTTCCCAAATGTTGATCTCGTTGAAGCGCTGGCCTCATTTTCGGGCTACCGCCCGTTCCGATTCGTGTTCCCGCTGCAACGCTGGCCTCATTTCCTCGCTTCCGCTCGTTCCGAATCATGCTCCCGCTGCAGCGCTGGCGTCATGATTTCCAGCGCCATGCCACGGCATGGTTTTCGGTCCTTCCAAATTGGCCCCAAAATTTAGAAAATGGCCACCCGAAACAAATATCAGAAGTGATTACACATTCGGTGTCGATTCGTTGATTTTTTGGGTCGCAGAACATGCCACTCATGCCACACTCATCTGTTAACGCCTCCGCCTCCCCCCAATGTTCAAAGTTGGCGGTGGGTCTTATAAGTTGCACCTCGACCGCAGTCTCCCCCGCGCGTGCCAACTTCGAGTTTGGGGGGCACGGGGGGTGTTTACTAATTGCTTCCCTCTACCGTATGTCAGGCTGCGCGTCCTCCGAATCGTGCTCCCGCTGCAGCGCTATCCTTCCGACGAAGACCTCCCAGTAGTTGCCTCACTTCCCTACCTTGAAGTCGGGCTTGTCCCTCTCTAGCGGGAATATTCAAGAATAGTCGAAACATAGTATGGTGACTATTTTTTAGTATCTCTTGAGTATTTCTTGAGTATCTTAACCCTACCTCCTCTCCCCTGTAGGGGGACACGCCCGACTTCACCCTGCCTCCCCTCCCCTGGTGCCGCTCTCAGGAAGAGCTCTGGCGGGCTGCGGAGAGCACGGGCCGACTCGGGCCCGGCCGGCCCGGCTTGGGGCTGCTAGCTTCTGAACGGCCACAGGCGTGAAAAACCAATCATCTTTGCTTTGGATCGGGAGCGGAAAAGAAGGGGGTGATGACTAGGGGGGGGTGGATTTCATGGCGCGGGCCATGATTTTTCCTCAGATTTCATGGCGCCTCTTCTTATTTCATTACGTCCCAGGCCCCCCCGCTGGGCCGCGCACATGCCGCCGGTCATGATTTGCACCCCCCCTTCTTGGACACCACCTCTTGGCCGCTCCCGATTGGACGGGGTGCTCTTATGTTTTTCTTCGCGTTTCGTCGAGCCATCTTGGAACGTTCTGTGTTTGGGGTATCCTCTTGGGTCCTTGTGCCTTCGTCGAAGGGGCTCATGTTCTGGATCCAAGTTCATGTTGTGGACCCACGTTCTCGTGACCATGTTTCGATTATACGAGCCGTAACGTTTCGATGTTGCATGCCGAATTGCCCACAACTGCGCAGGAACGGGAGATGGCGTGGATGGGGCGGAGGGAGATTTCGGTGTTCGGACGATGGTCGTGCCGCCGATGAGTCCCTCTGCAAGGATGGGGGATGGGATGGGGAGGAGGGGAGGAGAGGATGCATGAGCGTCGCAAGAGTGTCGGAAGCATGCCAGCAGCAGGCTGACAGGACGTTGCGGTATATAGCGAAAGCGCTAACCAACAATTGTTATCGGCAAGAGTCTAGCAGGTTCGCGCCGAGTTGATGCGAAGGAGATCCAAGCGTCGGCGTTCAAGATTGAACGCCGCAAGTAGCCCAGAATCGATCGATACCGAGCGATCACCGCACACGAGTGATCCTCGTGGTGTCAGAGACCACGGCGCGACGTGACCCGCCGTGCGCTCCCCCGCAGTGCCCCGCTCTCGTCTTCGGCCAGTAGTCTTCGCCTTGTCTAAGCTTGCGAAGACGCCTCGTACTGTTGCCAGCCCCGTCCTTCGAAAAATCGAGACCATAAGACACATAGGAACCAACAGTGATAATCATGATAACAATGATAAGAAGAATAAGCAAGAAGGACCGACTTATATTTAAGCTTTCGAAGGTCCGCGGGTTTCTTGGATCGGCGCTGGACACACCTCCCTGGCGCGCGGAGCGCGCCCGGGGCAGCGCTGGAGGCGACGCTAGGGGGGTCCAGCGCCAGTTCTAGAAGCCCGCGCGGACCTCCGAAAGTTCATGTTGACGTCGTTGTCTGGCTGTTCCTCCTGCACAGCTGCGGCACTCTCCGGGCGCGTAGCCGGGGCCGGCTGCGTAGCCCAAGCGCTTCCCTGCTCGAAACGACTGGCTTGGGATTGAGCCAGCAAGGCGAGTGCGGTGCGCCAACGGAGCAACCATGCTCGCAGTGGAGAGATCACCGCGTCCCGGCGAGTAAGGATGCCTGATAAGGATGCAAGGGCTTTGGAAGGCCATGCCGACACTTTTCGAGCGGGACGCGGCCAGCGAACGTGGCCACGATGGGCCGAAGGGGAAGGATGAAAGGATAATTCTGGAAAGTCGCTCATCCTTACCATCAGTCTTGGCTGTAGGCCCTTTAAGCTCAAGCGGAAGCCTCCCCCGGGGTCCAACAACCCACACCCATACCCATAGCCAGTCCTCCTCCCTCCGACCTCCCCATGGGTGTGTGTGTGTGTGTGTGCTGTTCGTCAGTGTTGGTCGTCGAAATGAGCCCTGCTAAGCGGGACTCCCGCTTCCCTCTGCGAGTGTAGGTGAGCGACTGAAAACCAAAACGGGGTCGCTTGCGCCGACGTTGACGCGTCAGCTGCCCGCGCAGGGTTGTGTACGAGCGCCCTCGTTTCCGATGTGGCGTGCCGCGCTGGCGGCCCGCGCGAGCCGCCGCGTAAGGTCGCGACGCCCTCTCGCGTGAGGCCCAGATCTCGTCGTCGCGCAGGTGGCCTGCTTCTTCGGCGGGCTGTACGGGATAATACACCTGCTGCAGGCGCCACGGCCGCCCCAGCCTGCGCGGCGGGGTTCTCCGCTCCCCGGCTCCGCACTCCCCGCCCCTCTCGCCCTTCCGACTGGCCCCCCCCCTCCTCCTCCCTCCACCTCCTCCTCCTCCTCCTCCTCCTCCTCCTCCTCCTCCTTGTCTTCATCTTTTTCCTCCTGCTCGCCCTGCTCCTGCCCTTTCTCCGCTGGACTCTCGCCCACGGCCGGGCAGAGTCTTGCTCTTGCTCCTCCCTGTGGCCTCCCTTCCCCCCCTCCCTGCTCTTGCTGCCCCATCTGCGCCGCGGTCCGCCTGATCACCTCCAGGCTTCGATCTGCGCGGCACCTCGTGAGCCAGACCCCAAGGGGGAGCGCAAGGGGCCAATTGTCCTCCGCA